TTATAACTATACAAATTGTATAAGAGTAAAGCAATAAAAAAAAAATCAAATTTTTTGGAAGACTCTAACCAACCTCCATTTGGTGTCTCCTGGGTAACTCTTATAGCGTAGACTAATATTTTCAATATAAATAATAATAAAATAAATATGTCGGGACCTAACTCGTGTATACGTTAAAATATGCCGGGATCCAATTCATGCCGTCGGGACCCAACTCGAGGTCAGCCGATTTTCAAAGGCTGCCGGTGCCAGGGAGACGGTCTGTAAAATTTCGTTTTATAGGAAAGTGAAGGGGATACACATTTTTTTAAAAAGGGATACAAACGGATACAAATCGGGTACATAAAAATGATGTTGGTCCGAAGTCGAAAGGACGATTTGCAGATGCCAGGGAGACAGACCTGTAAATAAATTATCTAAAGTTTCACTTATACGACTTAATATTTATACCTATTTACATATTTTTTTTTATATTAGGTATATTTTACTATCTTTAAGACAGACTATCTATTTGTATATTTTTTTTTTCAAACAATAACTTGTGGAAACGCGATCATTTTCTGTTTTTTAATTAGGGTAGGTACATCGAGTTTAAATTCATCGCTATTTTGAAACGCTATGTTAAAACAAATGTATGCGTACTTGCTCTTTCCTATCTTTATAAAATTGTTTTATTTGTGATTAAATTCCAATTCAAACTATAAATGACATAGTTTACGTTCATAATGTTATTACCCTTTAAGATCGAAATAGTAAATGTGAGTACATCTTAATAGGACGTGTGCTACCTCCTGTGTTGAAAGATCTACGTGTAGACATTTTTCTCGGCATTTTGATAAAAATTATAAATTGATCAACTCATAAACGTTCAAATGTTCAAAACGTTCGATTTTTAACAACAATAACTTTTTTCGTATTTGTAATTTCAAAAAATAAATCCAACCATGGACAGTTCAAGTTCTCCTTTTTCTATGGCTTTTTCGTATTTGTAATTTCAAAAAATAAATCCAACCATGGACAGTTCAAGTTCTCCTTTTTCTATGGTGAAAACTTGATTTCTTAACTAAGTCAATATATAACCCGGGTAGTATTTTTCCCGTGAAAAAGCGTTTTTTACGGGCGAGGTAATACTTAAGGAAATACAATATATTATTATTATAACAATGTCCTGTGTATTGATATATCTACTTCAAGTGAGTGTTAAGTACACGCCGGATAGGACATATTTACTTCATAACCCTATTCTCAGGTATACATAGGTACTCAAATGTATGATATTAAAGTTGAAAGTGCGTATATTTTACACTTACCTGCAGCCGTATACAAGTTATTGGTAGGTACCGTGTACGAGTTGAATTTTTTATGTTTCTATAATATTTGTTGTTTCGTATCTGTAGTTTCTATATAGTCGCCGATATTACTTTGTTATTGACAGTAAATGTGACACTATATAATACGTTACAACGATTTCCGTCGCCTTTTTTTTTTTTTTTTGTCTATATTAATTTTTCTTCATTATTTCTCCTCAAAAAGAAATTACATTTAACGTTCGTGTATAAATCGTCCAAAATTTTTGAAATATAAACATATAAAAACAAAGTTATACGTAATAATTATAGTTAATTAATAATTATGTTTATGTTCGCCATACATAACGGTTATTGAAATATTTAAACTTGGTAGTAGCTAATTCCAAACGCTGTAAATGTGTTTTGTATACAAGAATTTTAATTAAACCATTATATACGTTTGAATCAAAGTTTTATTCCGTTGTCGTCATTAAAACAATCATTACGTACAAACATTTTGATGGGCATTTGTATTTTTGTAAACTGCATCCATTACGTGTTACCTACTTGAACATAAATCGTGGCGTTTATACTAAAATTTGAGTTCAGTCATAAATGATAACATTAAAAAAAATAAAAAAAAAAATGTAAAACTAACACACGGCTGTTACTTTTTTATACAAATATATATATATATATATATATATTATAAAAAGCTACGTATGGCCTTCGGAAATAATATTATCCACGTTACAATTTACGTTATAACTTTATACATAGGAATATAAGAGAAACGACGTTACAGACAAATAGAGACGGATTTGGTCTTTTATTATATAAGATAAGATAATAATAATATATTGTAAGAATTTTATAATCTATCTTTTTTTTTTTTTTTACTAGCAAATGAAATACTTTTATCCGTTATGTATTTTAGCGGAATACAGATGGATTTTACATAACTGATTAATAATTGTATTGTTCTTTTTTTTTTTTTTTACGAATATAATAATTTTAATACATCCATTTTCAAAGAAAATATATAGAAAAGATAACTTTTTTTTTAATATTTCAGTGAACTTTGCTCCGAATTGTTTTTTGAAACGCATTTTTAAATTTATCATCTATTTTAGCTTTATCTTAAAGTTTAAATTATCGTGAAAACGTATTTTTTTTTTTATAATGTCGCGTTTATAAAAAGAATAATATGTTTTATCAAGTAACATAAACATTAAAAAAAAAAAAAATTTTACCTTGTAACAATTTGAAATATTATTTTCTTCTAGTTATCATATATTTGTGAAGGTATAGATTCTGTATACGGTATAAGTTTATAGAAAACGCAGCATCACGCTTGTAATTATCATTGACAGAACTAAAATGAAACACTTGCGATTTTTTAAATGTTTATAAACGTGTCTTCAGCAGGGCCGCCGGAAACTTGATGCACTAAAAAAAAAAAAAAAAAACCCGCAAAAATGCACGAAAATAAGGGGAAGCCCCCCCCCCGTGCATTTTAAATCCTTTGAAATCTAAAGTAAAAGTTTCATATAGCCGAGTTTATAATACACGATTTGCACAAAGGATTTTTTTTTTTTTTTTTTTTTTTTTAGCCGTCGTTTCTGT